ATTCTCCATATTCATCTTCTCAAATTCTCTTATTCTCCTTTATATTTTATTTTACTATTTAATACTTATACAATTATTATATCTACTTATATATTAATTATCTACTTATAAATACATATACTATATTACTTATATTTCTTATCTACTTAATCTCTACTTATATCTCTTAATACATACATACATACATACATACATACATACATACATACATACATACATACATACATACATACATACTACATCTACTTAATATATACTTTATATAAGAAAGTATTAAATATACTTTATAAACTATTACTATATACTTAATACATAATAATATCTACTTCTCTACTTATATTTTATATATACTTATTTTCTTATTTTCCAATCTCCAATTCTCCATTATACTCTAATATTTAATTCTTATACAATTATTATATCCACTTAATACATACATTCTACATCTACTTAATATATACTTTATATATTAAAGTATAAAATATAAGTGTATTACTCATCTTATAGTAGTATACTTATATATTATATACTATAAACATTATATTATATATTACTTACTATAACTAGTATTATACTAGTTAATTAGTTAATTAGCATTCTTGTTACATTTTTCATTATACTAGTTAATTAGTTCATTACCATTATTGTTACATTTTTCATTATACTAGTTAATTAGTTTATTAGCATTCTTGTTACATTTGTCATTATACTAGTTAATTAGTTAATTAGCATTGTTGTTACATTTTTCATTATACTAGTTATTTACTTCATTAGTATTCTCATTAATTGTTAAAACAACTCTACTTCAATAAACTAGTTAATTGTCATTATAGTTAAAGTCACATTTTCTTATTTTCAATTTATATTTGTAGGAAGAAATAGTAGTTCAATCATTTAATTAAAGTACTTAACATTTTATTTAAGTAGTTTTTACTAAATTAAAGTACTTCAAAAGTTGCTATAATTTTAATTTTAAAGTCACACATTAATTCTACTTTGCACTAAATTAGTTTGAAGTATTAATTAAAATAGTTTTAATTAGTTGCATTAGTTTTTTAACCATTATTATATTTGTTGTCAATTAATATTTGTTACATTTTTAAGATGGAAGGTGGTAGATATTCGATTGATTTGGGTAACCTCCAACGCAATTGAAGGAACGAGATTGGGAGGAAGAAATCCCGCAAAGGTAAGGAACTTGCCGGTTCTTCATCTCAAAGCCGAGATGATTTTGAAACGGGTTACCAAAGGCGAGATGGAGATGCGATGTCCGAAGAACAACTCCAACAAGAATTGGCCCGGCATAATAACCGCTTTCTACAACAACAACAAATGCCGACGACCATTGACGAAGAGGATCTTGAGGATGAAGATGCGGAGGAATTGGAACCGGAGACGGCCGAGGAGGAGGGTGCCGGCAGCCACGACGCCGACGAGCCTGCCTCATCCCAAACCGCGACCGGTAATAAAAAAAGTAAGTCTGAAGTAATGAAAAATAATTTTGATAAATGGAAGGACCCACAAACCGGCTATTGGCACGCAACTTGCAAGTGGTGCAACAACAATTATAGTTTGGGAACCTCCGGCGGATACGGATCCGCCGCAAGGCATCTTAAGGCAAAGCACCCCGTGGAGTATGCAAAATTAGGCGGCGGAACGGGGAATCAAACTCAAATATCGAGGTTTGCGAATTCTCAACCTTTTGGTAATTTCTCCTACAATGATGCACAAAATTTGACTGGTATGGCTAATTTAATTTGTGAAGAAAATTTGTCTTATTTGTTTTCTGAAAGTATTGCTTTAAGAGATTATGCACAAGGTAGTTTAAATCCTCAATTTAGAAATTATAGTCGCAAAACTGTTAAGAAAGAAATAATAAGACTTTATAATGCGGAAAAGGCAAGGTTACAAATTTTTTTTGCAAACTTTGATGGGCGTGTTACTATTTGTTCTGACATATGGGAGGATGATTTTCATCATTTATATTATTTGGGTCTGACTGCACATTATATTGATGAGGATTGGAATATGCATAAACGTGTTCTTGCTTTTCGTGAATTTAATGATCGTCACACCGCTGAACATATTTATATTTTGATTGAGCGTATTTTAATTGAGTATAATTTTATTGATAATGTGTTTGCTATTGGTTTCGACAATGCTACTAATAATACTGCTGCTATACCTAGATTGCGTGAGTTGTGTGGTGCCAATACTTTGATGGGTAGATTTTTTCATCAACGGTGTGCATGCCATGTTATAAATTTATGTGTGCAAGACGGTTTAAAAGCGTTAGGAGATTCCATGGAGGTAATCAAGGGGGGTATTAGACGTATTTGGGGTAATGGTCAACTTAGATTAAAATGGCAAACTTATTTGACTGAAAGAGGTGTGAGATATGTTGCTTTTCCTAAAGATTTGAGTATTCGTTGGAATAGTACTTATAAATTACTTAAAGTTGTTCTTAGATATAAATAACATTTTCCTGCTTTTTTAAAAGAACATGATAACTATATTATAAACGCGGCTGAGATCGACACTTGCGAAAAAATTTGTAATGTTTTGATTTTTTTTAATGCTACTGAAACTTTTAGTCATGTTTATAAACCTACCGCAAACCAATTTATTCGTGAAGCTGTTAATCTCGCCGGTGCTTTTAAAGAATTTGAGAATGCCGTTTTCGTTCATTATTTTTGTGATTATATGAAGGAAAAGTTTTTAAAATATTATGCGCATATTCCCCATATTTATGGTATTGCATTTATTCTCGATCCTCGTTATAGACTTGCTAATTTGGAAGATTGTTTCAACTTCTATTATCTTGCGTTTTTTGGTGAATTTCCAATGTATGACGATAATCCCTTAGATCCGAAAACGGAATACAACGAGGTTAGTACTTTATTTTATGCCTTATTTAATGAGTTTCGTGCACAATATAGCAACGCTCCCCCTCCCCCGTCACGAACATCTTCATCTAAAGGAAAATCGATTTTTAAATCTGCATTTGGCAATCTTATGAAAAAACAAAAACAACTCACGTCACTGAACAAAGTGCATTGAATGAGATTACTTTGTATTTAACATATGAAGTTGATTTTGAAGAAAATGACGACTTTGACGTTCTAGACTGGTGGAAGTCAAAAGAAAGAACGTTCCCGATTTTAGCACGGATGGCTAAGCAAGTACTATCAATGCCGATTTCAACAGTTGTTGTGGAACAAGAATTTAGTTCGGCCGGCAACGTCCTAACGGCATCTAGATCGAGATTGAGCGCGGAGTCTCTTGAGACGCTTATATGCTACCACGATTGGTTGAAGGCCGCACGTAGAACTCAAGAAATGAGCATCACCCCCTCTCAAGATTTTATGGATGACTCAACAACCGATGGTGGCTCTACCTACGCCGGAGATTCCGATTGATTAGTATTTTAGAATTTATTATAAAATGTATTTTGTAGCACTTGTCAAATTTATTTATACTTGTACTTCATATTTCAAAATTGTAAACTTGTACTTCATATTTCAAAATTGTAAATTTGTAGTTGTACTTCAAATTAATTTGTAAACTTGTACTTCATATTTCAAATAAATATGCGTTCACTTTTTCATATGTAGCACTTCTCAAATTAATTAATTGGTTACAAACTAACGACTTAAAATTATTTTTTTAAAATATAAAGCCGGTTTTTAAATTAAAAATACATTTACAATATGTAATTTGTTTAAATACTTATACACCTATTTTGTAACATTTGTAAATTATAAATCAAACCACTTTTCTAAGTACAAATAGTTTTAGTTTTACTTAATTCATTAAATTAATTAATTTATTTTACAATATGTATAACTTAATTTTTTTTTTTTTGAAATAAAACCTCCCAAACGGCTATAAAGCCGTTGGGGCTATGGGTGGGGGCAGGGGGGGTCCCGGGGGTGGTGGTGTGGGGAGGGGTTTAAAAACATCTATAAATACATCTATTTTCTAACATTTTTCTACACCTCTTCTCCAATTCTTCTCCAACTCTTCTCCATCTTCATCTTCTCTTATTATCCTACATTCCTACAATCCTACTTATACATATACCATTTTAAATATGGAAAGTACATCTTCCCTTATGCAAAACAATTTTGACAAGTGGAAGGACCCGAAGACCGGACTGTGGTGGGCAACTTGCAGGTGGTGCAAGAAAGAGTGTTGCTTGGGGTGTTCACACGGATACGAGATGCCAATAAAACATATGAAGTCCTGTGACAAAGGGAAAACAACAACCAACGGTGGCGGAAATCACAATTGATATTCATTAGAAAATATATTTCGTATTGTTATTTTTTTCTTAATTCTCAAATGTAGTTCCTATTTCAAATAAATGCACTTGAACTTTGTTTTTAATAGGAATTTGTATAATATATAATTAATTTTAAAAAAAAAAATACTGGCCCGGCTCGGCCCGGCGGGTGGCCCGACCCGTGACCCGGGCGGGTGGCCCGGCCCGAACCAGAACCGGCCATTGCCCGGGCCGGTCCCGGGCCTACTTTTACCAGACCCGAGGCCCGACCCGGCCCGACCCGGCCCGGGTCCAGCACTAAGAGGGAGATCCAGTGCCACTGCACAGGGCCTCGAAATCGTGAGGGCCCCAAAAAAAATTACTACGTACGACGTACTACATGTTGTACCTCCGTTCTTTAATAAGTGCAACATGTTGAATTTTACACTATTCACATGTTGTACTTTGACTACGTTTAATTAAATAATGTATTAATATATTTTCTTGAAAAAAATATTGTTAAATTTGTCTCATTTTAAATTTTCAAAATCTATTTTTTTTAATTTTTTACAAATAAAGAATTGTATATATTAATGGTCAAAGTTGTGTCTCGACAAGTGTGAAATGTTGACCGTTGCACTTATTTAAGAACGGAGGAAGAATTTAGTATTAGTATTAGCTATTTAGGTATTTCCAGCAACCCAAGTCCAAAATAAACCCAAAAGCACACAGCCTGAGATAAGTCGTACAACAAAACCAAAACGGAGCTTCGTTCGATTAAGAAAGAGCGCAGGTTGCGTCGAGGCATTTTAGGCATTCATCAGATTTGCAGCAAAACGGCGATTACGAATCTCTGATTCTCGGTCAGTCCCCAGTCCAGCTGCAGCACCGCACCTCCGGGCTTCGGCAGTCCTCTGTCCGCCGGTTCAGCAGCGGCTGTCCACACCCGGCAGTCGGTCGCACGCCCCAAATCTGGATTCTCCCTTGGCCATTGCAGGTAAGTCCGTAAGTTCTATACTTCTATAGACTGTTTTAATTGTTTTTCTTATATGTTTGGGACTTTGGATTATTAGTAATTTAGTAGAAATGTAGAGTAGATTATTTATTGTTTATGGCGCCTCCTAATCATTCCCTATGAAGTTTAACAAATTAGGTAATAGGTATTGTGGTTGTTGTTTTTTATTTTGTGTAATTGATGAATTAATTAAAGTATTTATGTTTAATAATTTGGTGTAAATGTAAAAATATGTTATTTCTTACTAGTATTACGTTTTTAGGGGTGGGCTAAAGTCAATAACTAAAAATTAAATTAAATATGCTAGAAGAATGTCTCTTTTTTGATGAAATGTACTTTATTAATGAATACATTTGCTTTTGCTATTATGTTTAATATTAACTCAAATTTTAACAGAAATTTACGGTAATTTATTACTATTACCATTATTATTTATGTTTTATTTCTTTTAGTGTCGGAAATAAAGGCCCTTTTTTTGTCGCACCGGGTCTCTAGTCTTCCAGGACCGGCCCTGAGTGCAATTACAATTAGCTGTTATGTTATGTAGAGAGTTTTGGAACATTCGCAGTTTGCCCCACCTGCCTTCAATCCTCAAGTAGTAATAGAAATTGGAGTTTTATGCTGTAGCAGAGTGTAGGATTTTGATATGCCCTGGTACTTGCTGGGATTTGAAGTGCAGACAGGCTGCAGGGTGAGGATGCTTATCACCGACTCAATTTCATCTCTTATCATACCAGCTCTTGGAGTGGGTGGTGCACATGGTCTGTATTGCTCTCTTTTTCTTATACTCACATGCCAAATTAATCGTCCTTATAGCCACCCCTCAAATAATTGTGGTTTAGGAATTCATTCAAAATTTTGCATTGATCTTTTGATTTTTTTAAGCCAAACTGCAAGTTTTATTAATGAAAGATCAAGAAGATTACATGAAAAGAAGCAAGAAGAAAAGAGAAAACCAAAATAAGAAAAAGGTAAGAAAGAGAGTAACAAGAGGAGAAAAACAAAGAAATGAAACAGCCCAACCCGAGGTTCTATAAATTGCCCTCCTAAGGAAAACATAACTCTTAAACATGTAGTCAATATTCCACCCGTGTTTGGGATCTAGTTCTTACCTTCTTATATGATGGGACCGTTGATATTTTTCTTGTACATCTTAATTTGAGTGTTCAAATTCTCTACGGGCAATCAATTTTCTACTGTGACTAGCAAAGATTTGTTGCAAATATCATCATTCGTATCAGAGTCCCAAAGACCGTCCATCGATGAAATAGGAGCTCTCTTCTCACCCTCTGATGCATTTCCTAGAAAATCAACCCCGATTGTGTTTAGAACTGCTCGTCAATGACCCCTTCACTTACGAAGTCCTCGGAAAAATGGTTATACCTTAAAAACATCCCTCGAGTAGTTGAATCTGGATTTGCACACCTAGCAGTTTTCACTTCTTCAGAAGGTCTCTTCTGATTTCCTGAAAAGTCAAGAATGATTCTTTAGATTTCTTTTAGTAGGAAGCGGGAGAGAGAATCCGCCCCGTTAGTCATAGTAGTCTGAGAAAAGTCTTTCAAATATGTCTACATTAATTCTTCTCACATTAAATGCTTTAATGTTTTGGAAAAAAAGATGCATGTCAAACTTTTTACCGGGATAAGATGAGCTGTTTGGAATGTTACGTAATATATGTGCACTTTTCTGAAACCGTAATTAATTTGGGATGAAGGGAGTATGGCTAGGTGATGACCATACATTCTTTTGTGTTGTGGTATGGACCAAATGTTAAAACATAAAACAAAAGATGTAGGAACACGAAGATTTTTGGAATGGAGAGTGTTTATATAGACAATTAGGTTTTTGTTTTGTGTGAATGACTGACTAGGTAGTATTGCCTGCTTTCTGGATTTTATTCTTTATCTTATCAATTGTAAGGATCCATACTACAATTGTTTCGCTGTATGGAAAGGATTTCTTTAATTGATGCTTTATAAATAGCTGTGTAATAAGAAAGGTGATTATACATTTTTCAGACAGAACTGTTCACTAAAAAAGATTCTGTTTGGAACTAGAAAATAGGGGTGAAAGTAGAGAAGAAATCTGTCAGGAATAAAAATTTGAGAGAAAATAAAAGATTAACTCAGTTTGATATTGTTACTTCAGATATTTGTCTGAACCAAAATTGATGTTACTTTAGATATTTGCTACTTCAGATTAATTGATGTTATTTATTTATATTATATCAAACCAATTATTATTTGTCATTTTCCAAGGTAAAACTCAATATAACAAAATAATTTCTACATAGCATATTTTTCCACTTTCCGTGGATCCAACCAAATATATCCTGAAGTTAAATTTTCATTTATAACAGGGTCTGCATTTTTGCTTTGCAAGGAGATTGCTAGTTTCCTTTGCAAACAAACACTCTCTAAGACTCTGTTAAGTTGAAATTGATGACATTCATTTAGCCTGTAACGCATAACACAATATATTGCTTTAATATCTTCAGGAAAGCTTCCATCATTTAAAAAGGGTAGTCGACAATGGGAGAAAGCAAGGCATAAAACCTCATGCTCTTTTCAAGTTTCAGTTCCTCCAGGGGTTCAATCCATGAAATCCAATGCTGGACAGTGCTTCAACTCACAAGCATTAGCTTTGGTGCAAAGATTAGCACTCCTAGATTTGGATCCTTCCACTGCCAAGTTGGCCATTGGCTTTGTTGAACCCCTCTTATCGGTGTTTTCTTTCTTGTTCATTCTGAGGATAGTGATGTCATGGTACCCTAAACTCCCTGTCTGGAAATTTCCTTACGTGATAGTGTATGCACCGACAGAGCCTTTCTTGAGCGCAACGAGAAAAGTGATACCCCCTCTTGGCGGAGTGGATGTCACACCTGTGGTCTGGTTTGGACTGGTCAGCTTCCTTAATGAAATTCTGGTTGGCCCTCAAGGCTTGCTTGTTCTCTTATCTCAACAATTAGGCTCCTAAGGGTCATGGTATGGATGTAATATGTCCATGGTAATACACTGGTCACTTTTGTACACGGCATTGAAGTAAGCATATGTGTGGGGTAAGTGGTAACCATGGGCAGAAGACCCAGAAATCTGAGGGACATGTGCACACCACATTTTTACTAATTATTGGATAATACGTAGTAATCTATATAATAACCCTTGCGTAGTATCTATTATCTATTACTAATACTGCTATATAAAACCATTTGTTTTTTTTGCTACATTTTCCCTGCAAAAACAATCATAATGTCCTATGCAACTCATTGCAGTAGAAATAAGCACAAAATATCAATAAAATGTCATATGAAATCGTAAGGCAAAACTGAACAGGTTAGGTAAAATACTAAGAAACGGGAAAAATTTTAAGGTGTCTGGGATTAAAAATTCAGAAAGAGACATTCCGAATAGAAAAAGAAATTACAAAAAGAAACTAATCGTATTAAGGCATTCTAAATGAATGTAAAGAGGGAAAAGAAATGGGGTTCATGCAAAATATAAATCTCAACTGTTTTGAGTTTTTTTCTTGAATAGTGTTGAATAAAAATTTAATTACATATTTAGTGTTGAGTTAAAATTATATACCAAAGTACTGCCAGAGCCAAACCAGAGTTAACAAGAATCGCCATTTCGTTTGGCGACTCACGTTTAAGGACCCGCAGAAGCAACGGAAAGAGAGAATAGTTAGTGGGGCCTAGGTTATAAAAAAACACTTTATTCCTTTAAAATGTTATAACCTTTTCATTTTTGCTCCATTTTTTATAAAACATATATCAAAATTCATAATTTTTTATGATCTTTCATATGACACCAATATTGCATATGTAAAAAATTTAAAAAAAATTAAGCTTATCTAACAACCTCATGTTTTAGGAAAACCACTTAGAGCATGTTTGGTAGCACGAAAATCAGCTGATTTGGCTGATTCTGCTGAAGTGGCTGCCTTGACTGCTTTTACTGATTTAATAAGAAATTATTTTTAAAATACATTTTATTAGTAAAATAAAGAAAATTATATGTAAAATAGCTTAAATGGTCATCTACAGTAACTTCAGCTAATACAACCAGAAAAGTAACTCCAAACTTACTTTTTTCTGCTTATTACACAATTCAGCGTGTGAAAGCAAAAATTACATGTTTGGTGAAAAAATTGGCTGATAAGCCTGATAAGACGAAAAACAGTGGCTCCAAACGGGCTCTTTATATTTTGGGATGTATTCAAAAGCTTACAACACTTTCTCTTTTGATAAGTGTTTTCTACATACGGAGTATAAAATACTCAATTATCCTTACTTTTTTTTTTATTTTAATTTTTATCTTCTTTTTCCTACTTTTTCAACACTATTCAATTACCATTACTATTTTCCCCTTAAATATTGTGTCAAAATCTAATATAGCGATCCTTTAAATACGGAGAGAATATTTTGTTTAAGTGTTTTCCCCTAAAATGCAAGGTTGTTAGATAAGCTTCATTTTTCTATTTTTTTTTACATATGCAATATTGGTGTGTCATATGAAAGATCATAAAAAGTTATGAATTTTGATATATGTTTTATAAAAAATGGAGCAAAATTGAAAAAGTTATAACACGGGATAAAGTGTTTTTTATATCCTAGGCCCCACTAACTTTCTCTCTTCCGTAGCTCAGTTGCTCCTGCTATTCTTTAAATGTGAGTCGCCAAATGGGATGGCGATTCTCATTAACTATGGTTTGCTTTTGACAGTAGTTTGGTATATATTTTTAACTCAACATTAAATATGTAAATAATTTTTTAATAAACATATTTAGGAAAAAAACTCAACTGTTTTAACATTTTTATTTTTATTTGTATTCCAACTTTTATTAAAACAATATAGCAACATTTCATAACGTTATACGCAGTATGACATTTCATGTGAAAGTGTGAAACCATATTGCATACTTTTTTTAAAAAAAATTGTACATTGTATAAGAGCTCCCATAGTTCCATTAAGAGAGTTTTAGCTATTATAGAGAGAAGGCGGTCATAGAGAGTAAGAAGAGGGTTCCCCAAAATGACCCAAATAATGAGGGAAAGCCTCCTATTTGTAGAAAAAAGGAGAAAGGGGGTCATGGGCATCACTGATCGGGCTTCGTATGAGGGTTATCCATTGGGTTCCTTAATAGTAACAGACAGAGATAATATAAGGAAAAATTCCCGGGATATGACTAAAACAAAGTGAATTTCTCAAAATGTGAGTAGTTATGTTTTTTCCCAATGTATGACTCAAAATATATATAAAAAAAATTTCGTTATATTAAATTTTGGAAGGACGGAAATACCCTTTTTCTTAAAAAATGCATTTTACACTACTTTCGTCCGGGTAAAAATAATGCACTTTATGAAAGAGTCATTGCACAACATTTATTGCACTTTATGTTGTGTTCACGACACGAGATTTGATGCATTTCATGCAATTAAGTTATGACACTTCAGTTTATGGGTTTTTGTAGTTTTGATCACTTTAGTTTTTACGTTTAATTAAATATAATGCACTTCATGCGAGAGTTATTGCACAACATTAAAAAATTGTTAGGATTTCATATACTTTTTCATTTTAAATTTGATAATCGCACTTTATGTCACTGTTAATGCGCTAATTATTGCACTTCTTGTCATAATCACATTATACATGGTCATATCATAGCACTTCTTGTACCAATCATTGCACTTCTTGTGATATTCACGGAATTCAATACAAATTATTCATTGCACACGATCTTCAATCGTCTTCAACCTAGGGTTCATCTTCAACCTTGGGTTCGCCTTCAACCTCGACCACCTTGGTTGAAGAATCTGAGTTGTTGGAGCGGCAGTCCAACGCCATTCTTTGAGAACATTAATTCCCAACCCCAATTTCAAGAAATACAAAAAGAAAAAGGAGAAGGGGAAGGAGAAGGAGGCAACCATGCGACGGGTCTGCGGTTGGTGAGCGGCGGCGAGCGATGGTTGTGCGGCCGCCGGCTAGATGGCGGACAATACATGGACGTCGCTCAACGCCTTGGAGCCCAGGTCGAGCGGACGATTGCCCTAGCTATCGACGATTTACACCCAGATCGCAGTTCTGTGCAAGGCGGCGGCGTTGGACGGTGGGCGGCGGCGCTGGACTGTGGGCGGAGACTAGGCAGCGAGCAGCAGTTGGGTGGAGGGGTGGCTGCGCCAGTGAGCGTTGGAGGTTGTATCTAGGGTTGTAGAATATGAATAGGAGGTTAGGATTTTATAGGGATAAACTAAAGGGTGTTTTTGTCCATAAAATTTATTTATTAATTATTAATTATGAATTTTAATTAATTATTATGAAATGTAATATTATTTTGGGAAAAAAACTAGTTAGGTCATAGATTGGGAAAGTGAGAGAGTTTTAGTCATATGGGGATAATTATTTCATAATATATCTCAACACAGTCCAATTAAAAGCATCAAGGAAAAAAGATCAAATAATTTGTTTTACTATTTCCAAACCATCACTTAAGTCCATATACTAATAAAAATATCATATAAGTACATCTACTTTATACAATTGATCAATTTGATCATTTATTTAGTTTTTGACCTATTATAGCAGTTTTTTATATTTAAAAACTATAAAAAAAATGTTAAACTTTTAAGAAATGCAGATAAAAATCGTGAAAAAATCAGAATGTCAAAGTCATTTTTTTTTGAAAATTTGAAATTATTTTTATATTCTACATCTATTTAATAGGTTGTTACATTTTATTTTTTCTATTTTTTTTTTTACATTTTCACCGCTTTGTAAGTTTTCTAATGTTTTAACATTTTTAAAATGTATATCTATTTTTACATTTATACTATTTTTATACTCCCTCCTTATTTCAATGTTCGCAACAATAGGTTTGAGCACAAGATTTAAGAGTAAATAGTAAGGGTAATGAATAGTGTGGAAAAAGTAGGAGAGAAGGTGGAAAAGTATGAAAGAGAAGATAAAAAGTAGAAAAAGTAAGAGTAATTGAGTATTTTTAAAGGAAAAACTTGCCAAAAAGGGAAAATGTAGCAAACTTTTAAATACATCCAAAAAACGAAAGTGTAGCAAACTTTACAATACGGTGGGAGTATTATTATTATTATATCACTCCCTCCGTCCCTGAAACAACTTCTCACTTTCCTTATTTGGATGTCCCTAATTTAACTTCCCATTTCCTTAAATGGCATATTATCTACATCAAAACAGTGTCAAACAGTGCCAAACAGTGTTGAAACAGTAAAATTTACCCCCTAGTAAGTTTATTTTCTTATTATGTGTGTAAGTCAAACCGGGAAGTTGTTTCGGGGACGGAGGTAATATTTTTCAAATTTATATGAATTTTTATAAGATTTGTCAATAACCCTAACTTTTTTTTTTTAAAAAAATAACATGTTATAGGACTATAGCAGATCAAAATGACTTGATTGATTGTATTTAAAAAGTAAGCGTACTTACATGAAACTTTCTTTAGTAAAAGGTATGAAGTGATGAATTGAAAATAATATAAGAGTCTATTTGACCCATTCCCAACATGGCAACATCAATGATTATTCTTTTCAACGTACCTAACATTTCACTAAGTGAAAATAAGCAAAATCAAATCTCTATGCTATCTCAATTGATTTATTTACCTCATAATTAATTCATATTAGTTTTTCAATATTCTCAAGTTCATAAATAGAGTTCTTCTTTGGATATGGACTCTTATGGGCTAAAAACTCTACTAGACACATCCTCACACTTTTTAGCTTTATGTATACAATACTTTTTAGCTTCATGGAATACAATCTTCCATGAACTATCTTCCAATTTTTATTTTTCATCCATCCTAAGTTAAATCTTCTCTTTCATTTTGACAAATAATTGTGATTCACAACATTTCTTAAACTTTCTTGCATATATCTATCTCATCCACACAACTCTCCACAACATAAATCTTGCGGGAAATTCTATTCACAGCCATAATTTTACTAAATACAGCCACATTTTTTTTTCAAATCCTATTATGTCCTTCCTATCAACTACACGTCTGCCCCTAATATTCCCATAAACATTGTCTGCAAATCCTCCTTTGAAGATCAACACACATCAGGTACGTAGCTCTCTCTTCCCCCTCTGTCCAGTCCAAGGCTTGCCAACACCACCCATGGGCGGCGTAGCGTTAGGTGGCGGCACGTCGGCAGCTAATTCCAAAGTAGCGTCGACCCAAGATGCCGACAACCGTTAACCTTATGCCTCAAAACCCACCTCCCGGATCCGCCCCTGTCGTACTCCACCAGAACACACACCTCACAATTCTCCCTATCATGTCTGGCTGTTGTCATCCATCGGGGGATGGCCTATCAGCACCACCTCTCCCTTGCCTCCGTGACTCCGTCAAAGGATAAAAGGCCGTCTTGATCCACATTTTAGTACAACACCGATCAATCACAAATGAGCAAGGCGGCCTTGATCATAGCTGGCATGGATCCCGGGGGTTAGAAATTGTACGGCAGTGGTGGCGGTGTGGCAACAGCTGGCTGGCACCGTTCTTTATTCCCTGCGAAGAAGAGTCTGGAATTCCAGGCGGCGGACAAGGTGTGACACCCCCAAATTTCCCACCCAAAATGATACTTTGAAACGGAAATGAACTTTTATTTATTATTTAAACGTTCAAATGTTTGCAGCGGAAATAGGTAAAATAAAGGAAAAGGGGTATGTCACCGCCACATCCAATCCGTGAGTGGTTGGATGTTAAGGCTATCTACCAAAACATGAGTTTAGATAAAAATCAAGATGTTCGAATCATAAGCAAATATTAAAGTTTATTCTAGTGAACTACGATAAGGTCTTCTAATTCGCGCTCTCAAACATTCCAGCATCAAAATCAACATGATCACCTCCTGTTAGAACGAGCAAAAGAAAATAAAAAGAAAACAAACATTAGCAATAATGCTAAGTAAGTTCCACCTAACCTTTTAAAATAATAATAATTAATATATATATAAATTCGTACAACCTCATAAAATATTTTTCAAATCACTTTATAAATTATAAGTAAATGGTATCTATACAAAACCCCAACCACACAATTTGCAAATATCATAATAATTCCAAAATACATGAAACACCAAGATTCTCCTCTTTTGAATTTCTCCCAAAAATCACTTTGTAACTAACTCCCTAGTACTTTAGAAGGGCGGTGCTCAATACTTTGGTTGAGCCCGGTGGTCCGTTGTTATGTACGGCCACCCCGGGACTATTGCCGGTACCACAACTGCTCAATGGAAACGGAACAACTACCTTAAGTGTGCACACCCCCTAAAGGTATTCCAAGCCCTCCGGGTTAGTAAGTTGACCCGGGTGGTCAGGATGTTTTCTACCAACTACCCCACCTCAAAAACTGAATGATTAGGAACTACTACTACCACTACTACTCAAAAGTCGGGATGTTTTCTACCGACCATCAATTCACCTCAAACCAATACTAACAAGAATTGAGTAGTAGTAGACCTAACCACCCTCCACATTTTAAGGGACGTGGAAAACCGACATCACGGATTTCTCCCGTGATGCCCACTCTTTATGAAAATATTTATTTTTCTTTGCTTTCTCAAAATCAATCGAAGTTTATACTTCAAAAATTTCCTTTTTATCAAACTCCCACAAAGATAACAAATTACGTACTATTACAAAATCTCCCAAAATTGTATACAATAACTCATATTAACAAACCAATATATCAACCAATATCCCAAATACAACCCTTTCATATCATAGTATTTAATCAAATTCAGCACACATAAATTCAATTCTCAAATATGCACACAAAAATATTCAAAGAAATCACGAAGTAAAAAGAACTAATTTCGGTTGACGTGAAACTTACCTCAAGCTCCAAGAACTTCTAGTAAAATCCTCTACTTTGTTCCTCACTCGAATTACCTTCTATTTAGAATAAAAATCAATATCAATTTAACCATAATCTAAATCATCTACCCTTTACAATTCCCTCTTATGATTAGATTGCTTCAATAATAATCACTTCCTATAATAGTCTATTTTTAGTTTTATGCTTAATTAGTACGTTTGTCAACTTATCTAATTAGTCTAACATAATTCATTCATTTAATCCATTCATATTAATGATCGATAATCTGAATATCACCATGTGTTATTATAATCAATTTTACAAAAGAAGTTCATAAAATGTTGTCCAGATTATTATTTGAACTAATACAAGTCTAACTACACTAGCCAATTCACTTTATTTAATGACTAATTATGTATTAACCCGATTGACATCACCATGAATTATTTTATTACAAACATCCATATTAGTGATAGAGTATATAGACTCGGACCCCCGGGTCTCACGACTATTGGGCCTGGACAGCGGCCCACATACACTCAGTAGATAGCATTTATCTCATTGTACACTCTATTTTATTCATGTATATCCATTAGAATAGATTAGATACCATTTATTAGCCATTTATTGGCCTTTTATTGTAACTGGGCCAGCCAGGCCCAAGCCTGGAAGCCCAGCCCTCTTTTCTCCTATAAATACTCCCTATGGGAGCCATGTAAAAAGGGATTGATTGGAAAGTTGGAAGTTGGAATTTATTATACACATCACTTTATCTCTCTAGCTCTCCCTTCTCTCTAGAATTAATACACTATCATTTGGTGCTTTCATTGAGAGCTAGAACACATCAAGTGAGATACTCCCAACCAACAAGTGAATAATCCACGAGGTATCACTTCGTCCTTATTGGAGGAAACATGCTACCTTTTCTTGTATCTCATGTGTACTCCTCGACCTAAAGGAAAGCCCTGCCACCGAAAACTAGAACAAAGAGAGCTAGCAAGAAGTGGGTGGGACCCTCAGCCAATGGCATAGTACCACACTACCACTTCGGCCCTTGTTGCTGTGCAACGTGCCCCATCGGCTGAGGAGAAAAATGACACAATGGCTTAAATCATAAAAGCAAATGGCTAAGAGGAGCATGGCAGGCCACGGTCAATCCCATTACTACTATTTGATAACAACTAAGGTATCTCCTGGATCAAACCGATACAGCATCCCTCGTCCAAGCAAGGAATCCTAGCTGTGTGACGCCTCAACATCCCCTAGTCAGCGACCGTCATCCCTTCAACCTGGAAGCGATAGTGATACACTGATACCCCCTTTGGCCAAGTGGTGCTCCACCCTCGGCCGGATTGCCACAGCGGACTCCACCGAACCGGCTCTCACCTCCAACTTGGCAGAAATAGCCAAAGTTCTGCACCACTTCGGCCAAAGAAAGCCCCTCATTCCTCAACTCTGAGGAGCCAGCACTGTACCAACAGCTGGCAGCGCGTCATCAGCCAATAGCACCTTCGGCCGGCATTCCCATCGGCCGGCACCCCACACAACGGATGGGACCACATCGGCCACCCGCATCGGCCGCAACGCATCAGCCGGCTCCTCATCGATCGGCTCTTCATCGGCCAACATTCATCGGCTGTCATCCATCGGCCGGCACCACTTCGGCCGGCAACACATCGACGCACCGCAACGGCAGGCACTGCTTCGGCCGCGCACCGCACCGGTCAAAAAGAGGGACACGGCATCGTCCGGGACCGCATCGTCCAAAACAGGGCCGCCTTGTCAAGCCACCTCATCGGCCGGACCGCATTGCCGGACCGCGTCGGCCAAAACAGGCCACCTCGTCAAGCAACCGTATCGTCTGGACCGCATCGGCCAAAACAGGGACTCCGCTCCAGACAGGCTCACTTCGGCAAAGCATCCACCTTCGGCCAGAGTGAAGGTAACCCCCTCGTCCATAGCTCCACATTACGTACGACTTGGTACCGCCTCGGCCCTGGCTGCGGCAGCATGCTCCCTCGGCCTAGAAGCAAAACATAGGCCAACACTCTACTCATATAACCTCCTGCTACACCTTCGGTCAAGGTTATGCGAATCAAAGGAAAATGACAAAAGGTGAGGGAGCGTGGCAGGCTACGGATCAATTCCAACATCCAGCAGCTCCCATCGGCTCCAATTCACAGACTCTTCAACCAAATCAGGAACTCTGGGTCACCTCTGCCAAACAGGACCTCCGTCCAAACCTGCAAAATCAGTCACCATCGGCCATTGGAATCGCCTCGGCCAGAACCCATCGGCCATTGGCCTCGCCTCGGTCAAAACCCGGCGGCCGGCGACACATCGCCTCACCCAGCCTGCCTGACGAACTGATGCGTCGCCTCAGGCAGTCTCTTCGTAAAAGCAGGTCGGTTTGGCGGAGATCTCTGCCCCTTTCATCGGCGATTGCAGCAGGCGGCAATCCCCATGGCATCTGGCGAATAAGTCGCTTCGTCTTCTTCTCCGCGTTCCTCACAAACAAAGGACGCACCGTCTCCTTCTCTGTATTCCTCGCAAGCGAGCTACGCTGGGCTAAAAACTCAAAATCAAATCAGCAACGGGCCAGCTATTTAATCTCAAAGGCTGGACTTCTCAAAGAGCAGGCCCAATCTTGTATTTCCCTGCTTTAATACTAAGCAGGGCAGGCTTCGGCCCAAATACAAGTAAGTCTCACAAACTTTTCCTCCTATTTTATGCATTAAATATGGAGCAAAATAGTTTTACCACTATTCAAAAAAAAAGTATAGCTTTACTACTATTCCGGAAAAAATAGTTTTACTACTATTAAGAAAAAATAGTTTTACTAACTATTCAAAAGGAAAACAAAAATAATAATAATAATTACTACTATTATTATTATCACCGTTGCTAGCGGATTAAAATCTCCAATTGGTGCGGGCCAAAGCCTTAACCTTCCGAACATCTTTATTTGATGATCCGGATTATATTTGGGTCCCTCGACCTACCTTGGTCATCTTTATTTGACGACCCGGGCATCTAGAATGAGAGCCATCATCGGCCGTACACGGCATTATGCCTAGAAGCGGTACACCTCATTCCCCTACACGCTAATTGCGTCATCCAAAAGCCGTCGCAATAAACGACGCACCCAAAGCCGTCGCAATAAACGACGCACCCAAAGCCGTTGCAATAAACAACGCACTCAAAGCCGTTGCAATAAACAACGCACCTAAAGCCGTCGCAATAAACGACGCACCCAAAGCCGTTGCAATACACAACGCACCTAAGGCCGTTGCGATCCACAACGCGCCTACAAAGCCGTTGCAATAAACAACGCACCTAAATATCGTATCGGCACAAGCGGTGAAACACCCAAATCGGCCGGCGATATGCAGGATGAAGGACTTGTGTGCATGGTCCAACGTCTTCAAACGGAGAAGCATACCGCGTCGTCCGCGCGGAAACCGCAGGACGACAGGCCTGAATTAAGGCTGAGGTTACGAAAACTCCACCCGTCAGTAAAATTTCGCTCAGGACCACAAAGGGCGGCCGTCAAAAGACGATGCATAGTCCGGTCCCTCGTCGACGATAGACGTGGAAAGGCCAAAAAAGATGCCACTGACATACCAAGCCGAGGGCGTATTTACTCCCTGCGTATTTACTCCCTCGCACTAATCCACGCGAAAAGCGTAGCGGACAAACTACCGCACATGGACGAAGGGACAGTAACCCTTCGGCCACCCAAAAAAAAAAAAAAAAAAAAAAGAGGGAAGCCGACGGACCGCGCACTTGCCGGCCTCGAGCAAAAAAATAATAAATAAATTCCCCAAACTTATTATTCATCTCAAGACCGGCTCCCAATGCCGAAGCTCTTGCTCCATCATTTCATGAACGGCCCCCGAACGCCGTCATGCCTCTACATGACGATCGGCTCATCTCCGCCTCGTCATCATCATCCGGATCGGCTCATCATCATCGCCATCCGCACATCACGACCGGCCTCCCAGCCTTGGCGTGATTATTTCTTCTCAAGACCGGCTTCTCATCGCCAAGTGTCTTGAGTTGGCAATCGGGCTCGCCGTCCCTTCCTGGATGGTGACCGTTGCCCCTACATGACGATCGGCTCATCTCCGCCTCGTCATCATTATTCGGATCGGCTCATCATCATCGCCATCCGCACATCACGATCGGCCTCTCGGCACGACGTGATTATTTATGTCAAGACCGGTCTTAGTCATCCCTTCCCGGATGGCGACCGTTGCTTGGATCCTTGGATCGGCCCTTCAGTGCCGACGCCCATACATCACGATCGGGCCCTTCGGCCACGACGTGATGCTTTATCTCAAGACCGGCCTCCTTAGCGCCAAGTGTCTTGAGCTAGCGACCGGGCTCGCCATTCCCCTCCTGGATGGCGACCGTCGCTTCCATATGACGATCGGCTCATCATCGCCTCGTCATCATTTTTCAGATCGGCTCATCATCATCGCCATCCGCACATCACGACCGGGGTCCCCGGCCCCGGCGTGATGCCTTATCTCAAGACCGGCTCCCTCAGCGCCGAGTGTCTTGAGTTGGCAATCAGGCTCGCCGTCCCTTCCTGGATGGTGACCGTTGCCTCTATATGACGATCGGCTTTATCATTTCCTCGTCATCATTATTCGGATTGGCTCATCATCATCGCCATCCGTTCGTCACGACGGCCCCCCGGCCTCGGCGTGATGCTTTATCTCAAGACCGGCCTTCTCATCGCCAAGTGTCTTGAGTTGGCAATCGGGCTCGCCGTCCCTTCCTGGATGGTGACCGTTGCCTCTATATGACGATCGACTTCATCATCGCCCCGTCATCATCATCATCCGGATTGGCTCATCATCATCGCCGTCCGCTCATCACGACCAGGCCCCCAGCCTCGGCGTGATGCCTTATCTCAAGACCGGCCTCCTTAGCGCCAAGTGTCTTGAGCTAGCGACCGAGCTTGCTATTCCCTTCCGGGATAGCAACTGTCGCCTCTACATGACGATCAGCTTTATCATCGCCTCGTCATCATTATTCGGATCGGCTCATCATCATCGCCATCCGCACACTCACGACCGGCCTCCCAGCCTTGGCGTGATTAATTCTTCTCAGAGACCGGCTTCTCACCGCCAAGTGTCCTGAGCTAGCGACAGGGCTCATCATCCCTTCCTGGATGGTGACCGTCGCCTTTATATGACGATCGGCTCATTAGCACCTCGTCATCATTATTCGGATCGGCTCATCATCATCGCCATCCGCACATCACGACCGGCCTCCCAGCCTTGGTGTGATTATTCCTTCTCAAGACCGGCTTCTCATCGCCAAGTGTCTTGAGTTGGCAATCAGGCTCGCCGTCCCTTCCTGGATGGTGACCGTTGCCTCTACATGACGATCGGCCTTATCATTGCCTCGTCATCATATCTCGGACATGCTCCTCAGCATCTTCGTCCTCGCATCACGATCGGGCCCTTCGGCCACGACGTAATGCTTTATCTCAAGACCGGCTCCCTCAGCGCCGAAGTCTTGATCTAACGATTGGGCTTGCTATTCCCTTCCGGGATAGCAACCGTCGCCTCTACATGGCGATTGGCCTATCATTGCCTCGTCATCATACATTGGACCGGCTTATCATAGTCGTCATCCTGGCATCGCGGCCGGCCTCTCGGCCAAGGCGCGGTACCTTATATCAAGACTGGTCTTAGCCATTCCTTTACTGGGTGGCGACCATTACATGGATTTTTGGGTCGGCCCCTCAGTGCCGATCATGGCAGGCCCTCGACCTCGACGTGATCATATTCCCCAAGACCGGTCTCAGTCATTCCTTCATCGGATGGCGACCGTTGCTTGGACGTTTGGCTCAGCCTCATAGTGCTGACGACCTCGCATCACGATCGGCCCCCCGGCCTCGACGTGATGCCCTATCTCAACACCGGCTTTATCAGCGCCAAGTGTGTTGAGCTAGCGATCGGGCTCCCCATCCCTTCCTGGATGGTGACCGTCGCCTCTACATGACGACCGGCTCATCTCTGCCTCGTCATCATTATTCGGATCGGCTACCCATTATCGCCATCCTTATATCACGACCGCCGCCCCGGCCTCGGCGTGATGATCTATCTCAACACCGGCTTCATCAGCGCCGAGTGTGTTGAGCTAGCGATCAGGCTCGCCATCCCTTCCTGGATGGTGACTATCGCCCCTACATGGCGACCGACTTATCATCGCCTCGTCATTGTTATTTTGGATCGGCTCCTTATCACGGCCGTCCTCACATCACGATCGGCCCCTAGGCCACGATGTGATGTCCTATCTCCGAGACCGGCCTCTCATTGCCGAACGTCTTGGGTTAGCAATCGGGCTTGCCGTCCCTTCCTGGATGGTGACTATCGCCCCTACATGGCAACCGGCTTATCATCGCCTCGTCATTGTTTTTTTGGATCGGCTCCTTATCACGGCCGTCCTCACATCACGATCGGCCCCTAGGCAACGATGTGATGTCCTATTTCCGAGACCGGCCTCTCATTGTCGAATGTCTTCGGTTAGCGATCGGGCTCGCCATCCCCTCCTGGATGGCGACCGTCGCCTCTATATGATCGGCTCAGCATTGCCTCATCATCGTATCATCAGACAGGCGTCCCACGCCCCGTCCTCATATTCAGACAGGCGTCCAGCGCCTCGTCCTCATATTCAGACAGGCGTCTAACGCCTCGTCCTCATATTCAGACAGGCGTCCAACGCCTCGTCCTCATATTCAGACAGGCGCCCAGCGCCTCATCCTCATATTCAGACAGGCGTCCAACGCCTCGTCCTCATGTTCGGATCTAGCAAACATCTTGCGGTCTCCGGCTCAGAGACTAAAGGATCTCAGATCTCATCTATAGGCCCCTCGGCCACATCTTGCTCTAGCATCTTTATTTGATGACGAAGGGCTCTCATACAGGCCCATCAGCCATATATCTTGCTCCGTCATCTTTATTTGATGGCGAAGAGCTCATCTACAGGCCCATCGGCCATATACCGCTCTGTCATCTTTATTTGATGACGAAGAGCTCATCTACAGGCCCATCGGCCATATATTATTCTGTCATCTTTGTTTGATGACGAAGAGCTCATCTACAGGCCCATCGGCCACATATCGTTCTGTCATCTTTATTTGATGACGAGGAACTCATCTATAGGCCTCTGAGCCATATCTCGCCCCGTCGTCTTTATTTGACGACGTGGAGCTCTTATGCAGGCCCCTCGGCCATACATCGCCCCGTCATCTTTATTTGACGATGTGGAGCTCTTATCCAGGCCCCTCGGCCACACATCGCCCCTTCGTCTTTATTTAACGATGTGGAGCTCTCATATATGCCTCTCGGCCACTACTCCCAGTCATCTTTATTTGATGACGTGGAGCTCACATCGGCCCATCGGCCTCATATTCTGGTCATCTTTATTTGATGAACCAGACATCATATTATGGACGGTCGCTCGACCCATCCCTTAGTCATCTTTATTTGATGACTAGGACTACTGATCATGACGAGCTACCCACATCTATGGATCGGCCTCTGCCATCCCCTCGGCAGACGGACACCGCTGCAGCTCCACCTCTAGGCCGAAGGGCTCGCACCTTTTGTTTCGTTCTGGGGGCATCCGATGTACTCTTTTTCCCTCATTAGGATTTTTTCCCACAGGGTTTTTCCTAATGAGGTTTTTAACGAGGCATCTCCCCATTGTGGATCAAAAGGTGTCAACCCTCGGCCCCCTGTTGCAGACATCATCAGGCATGCATTACTCTACTCCTCTTCACCTCGTTACACTCGCCTCAAGGAGTGGGGGACTGGGAGAGCGGGGGACTTAGCGCCTTCGCTACCAAAGAAGCAGAAATTCAAAATTTTGCAAGGATTGCCACTCGCACCGACGACATCATCATATCACATACATATTCAGCTGCCACATCGGCCAGCACATATACATAGCTCCCCGGCCTTAAGACCGGTAGTGATGGTCTCTAGCCTGCGACCTTCGGCTGAGGATTCTCTCACAGGGTTGCCTCAGTCAGGGCTCGCCAATGGGACCGGATCATCGGCATGGGAATCCGGGCGAGGCGCTTCGGCGACGACAGCAGTTTACTCACCGGACGACGACAGATCAGCACACAGTTCTACTCTCTTTCGCCTCGAGTACTCTCGACTCAGAGAGTGGGGGACTCCTGATAGAGTATATAGACTCGGACCCCCGGGTCTCACGACTATTGGGCCTGGACAGCGGCCCACATACGCTCAGTAGATAGCATTTATCTCATTGTACACTCTATTTTATTCATGTATATCCATTAGAATAGATTAGATACCATTTATTAGCCATTTATTGGCCTTTTATTGTAACTGGGCCAGCCAGGCCCAAGCATGGAAGCCCAGCCCTCTTTTCTCCTATAAATACTCCCTATGGGAGCCATGTAAAAAGGGATTGATTGGAAAGTTGGAAGTTGAAATTTATTATACACATCACTTTATCTCTCTAGCTCTCCCTTCTCTCTAGAATTAATACACTATCAATTAGTATCTTACGTAGTAGTACTTTTATTATACCCTATAACTATTAGTATTTTATTATTATTATTATTATTATTATTATTATTATTATTATTATTATTATTATTATTATTATTATTATTATTATTATTATTATTATTATTATTATTATTATTATTATTATTATTATTATTATTATTATTATTATTATTATTATTATTATTATTATTATTATTATTATTATTATTATTATTATTATTATTATTATTATTATTATTATTATTATTATTATTATTATTATTATTATTATTATTATTATTATTATTATTATTATTATTATTATTATTATTATTATTATTATTATTATTATTATTATTATTATTATTATTATTATTATTATTATTATTATTATTATTATTATTATTATTATTATTATTATTATTATTATTATTATTATTATTATTATTATTATTATTATTATTATTATTATTATTATTATTATTATTATTATTATTATTATTATTATTATTATTATTATTATTATTATTATTATTATTATTATTATTATTATTATTATTATTATTATTATTATTATTATTATTATTATTATTATTATTATTATTATTATTATTATTATTATTATTATTATTATTATTATTATTATTATTATTATTATTATTATTATTATTATTATTATTATTATTATTATTATTATTATTATTATTATTATTATTATTATTATTATTATTATTATTATTATTATTATTATTATTATTATTATTATTATTATTATTATTATTATTATTATTATTATTATTATTATTATTATTATTATTATTATTATTATTATTATTATTATTATTATTATTATTATTATTATTATTATTATTATTATTATTATTATTATTATTATTATTATTATTATTATTATTATTATTATTATTATTATTATTATTATTATTATTATTATTATTATTATTATTATTATTATTATTATTATTATTATTATTATTATTATTATTATTATTATTATTATTATTATTATTATTATTATTATTATTATTATTATTATTATTATTATTATTATTATTATTATTATTATTATTAACATTATTATTATTATCTCCTAATTCACGGCCCAGTAGTTCAATTACAAAGAATACCCAGCCCAACTATACTCACAGTCCAAACAAAACAGTCCAAAAGCATTAAACGGAATAGGGGGTAGAAGATTACATACGGTACGGTACTGTAGCTTTCTTCTTCGCCGTTCACACAGCCCGGCAACACAGCTGATCACGGAACCTCGACTCCAACCTCCGGCGGTGATGGCAGGAAGAGACGGTATCTAAGGAAAACGATGGCGACGGTGGTAACTTAGTCCGGCGGCAACGTCTTCTTCTTCTCCGGCAAGTCTTCGTCCTTTTTCTCCGACGAGCTCCCAAACCAGCTTCTCCGAGTCGGCTCACTCCCTTCTCTTTCTCTCCTCTCTCATTTGTTCTTTACTTCTCAGTTTCGTTCGTTTTAGATAGATAGAGTAGGGAAGTGTGTATATACGTGTTCAGTTCGTGGTTGCCGATACGGTTATCCCTCTGGCCGTTTTCTTCTGAGTTTTAATTATTTTTAATGTTCACTATTAAGGCATTGGTCCGTTGGGTTACATCTCGCGAGTATAAATCGTCCGTTGCCGCTGCCATCCTTAATTATTGTTGTTACTACTACGCATGTATGCGTAGGTGTATGTATATGCATATATCATCATGATATATGTATGTGATGGTTTATAGATGTATGTATGCTATACTTACGTATGTATATTGTGTATACGTGTATATGTAGTATATATGTGTTATTACGTATGTGAAGTTATTACATGTGTAGTATATTATCTAGATATGCATGTAGGCTTATTGCTATATACTAACTCATCTTTATTATTTATTTTATGAAGTCTTATTTGTTTTATTTATTTAATCAGATAATTTATATCTGGTTTATATTTATCAGCCATTTTATTTTTCTTTTATTTTTAGCATATGAATTTTATCTGTTTTATTATTATTATTAATATTATTATTTTATTATTATTATTATTATTTTTTTTTTAATTTTTTCTAAGGTGTCACATTCTATCCCCCTTAAAGAATGCTTCGTCCTCGAAGCATAAGCTAAAAAAAAAAAAAACAATTCCAATAGTATAAAATCCTGAGGTATTACATCCTACCCCCCTAAAGAGAGGTTACGTCCCCGTAACTAGAATTTTTACCTTAATCAAATAACTCAGGAATAACGGCTTCGCATGTCATCTTCGGTCTCCCAAGTGGCGTTTTCGGCCAAATGGTTTGACCATAAAACTTTCACCATTTTAACCGCCTTTCTTCTGGTCTCACGTGTCTTGGGTAGAATCTATCTCGCATGGCCTTCTTAAACGTATCCCACGAAAATTAGCTTGTCGACGCAGCATTGGGCTAGTCATGGTCCACCAATTGTCCGCCTCTTGACGTAGGTAGTATGAAGCTGTATCAACTCGTTGCTCCGCGGGGCAGTTCATAGACTCGAAGAGTTTGTCGAAAGTGCGAATCCAATCCTCAAGGATACGAGGATTTTCTTGGCCTAAATAGATTGGGGGATTGCGCTTCGCTATAAGTTTCGCTACATCATTACGGGTGTTGAAATGTTGTTTGTGGTTTTGATTCTCCAGTAACACATTCGTGACAGTCTGGATGAGTTGTGTTAGTTGGACCATATTTTGAGCTAACTCCGAGTTCGTTGGTGCGGCATCATTGTTCTCGATGTTGTTCCTCATGGACGTCATTGTCGCCTTGAAAAGGATAGCGTTTAGGATACAAATAAGGAATCTATCAAATAGCTAGTATTCACAATTTTACTACTCTAACCAATAACTCACTAATCAAATATTGTCTAAAGTTCTTCTATAAGTCCAAACTTATCCTCAAATAAACACATATGGATAAGTCCAAAGCACGCTTAACTTTGGAGTTCTTAGGTAATGAGCTCCCTTAAAAGGAGATGCACCTCTGTTGGTATGAGTAGTACTATTAATCCATTTATATTAAATCTCAAGTGTTACAATCACCCCCACTTAGGATCGCAACGTCCTCGTTGCGCCCTTAAACCAATCTCAATCAAATCCGAGAATCTTTTCCCCTGCTAAGTGTCTGCCCGATATCCAACGGATCAACACACTGTCGCAGGGTTGCTCTGATACCACCTGTAACACCCCGGCCCCACCGGACCCGAGGTAGTTACTCCGGATCAATAGTACTGTCCCCACAAACCACCACGAGCCTTTACCGCGCACTTTGTCCTCACTCATGCGCGCCCTGAGAAACTTCCCAGGGGGTCACCCATCCCAAGACTACTCCCGAGCAAGCACGCTTAACTTTGGAGTTCTTAGGTAATGAGCTCCCTTAAAAGGAGATGCACCTCTGTTGGTATGAGTAGTACTATTAATCCATTTATATTAAATCTCAAGTGTTACACAAGGTGTTCAGGGTGAGCAACGTGACAAAGACAGTGAAGAACGTGAGCGAGCCGGAGCGGTAACTAATGGTGGAGTCGCTGGTGTGGGAGGCGGTTTGCCGCGACAGAATGATCCGGTGTTAGGGTGTCTTGGGTTTTAGAAAGAAAAACTTCCGTTTGTCAAAACAAGAAACTAAATCTTGCAAAGTTTTTGGATGTACAGGCACATCGACGCAGTAATTGGTAGGATAAAGGGCATAATTGGGAGTTTTTTTCGAATTAATGTTAATTAATTAATTAATTACGAAAATAATGCCGGGAAGAAAGTTATTACCGATCTACTGCTGACCTTAACCATGGTCAGGGGTAAGTCGCCCAACGGTTGGGCGACTTACCCCTGATATATGATCGAAGGCTAGCAGCTACTGCCAGCCACACACGATCGTGCGTACCCTGGGACGCACGATCGTGCCTAGGTCCGAAAACAGCATTTCAGCAGGTTTTTCGCCCCAGCTCAACCCGGACTCATCTGTTTGCTATAAATAAGGTCTCTCTTGTCATGTTTAAGTGTTACGAGCCTGATACAACATATTATAAAATATACAACACACGTCTTCACAATCACATACATAACACCTAATCTCAACAACATAAAAAACACCTTGTAAATACCCTTTGCAAATCAAATACAAAACCTTACATTCATAACCGGTATAACACAGTACAATCATCCAATATTCATAACAAGTAATCATCTAATATTCATACTCGAACACATCAAGACAACATACAAGAGTTTACAAGAGAAAATAAGTAAAATGTTGTAAATTGTTCCTACAACATCTACTGTATAAGAAAAACTGCAATACAAAAGACAAACTACAAATTCTCATCGACAGCTTGGTCATGGAGATGTTGCTACTCATGTCTACGCCTACGCCGTTGTCGTGGTTGAAGAACCACTCTCTCATGCTGCGTCTGGGATGATGAAGTCGCCGCTGCACTAGACGTGGATGGCATCTCCTGATCGAGATGGGGAAATGTGTATAAGATGCCCGTAGTCGACTCGCCCCAACACATCTGAACACAAGGAGGCAATGCCTGTCAGAGCCTGTCCATACATGCCCACATCATGAGTATCAGTCTAGCCCACTGATGTATGCGCTGCAAAGCTCGTGTCTGAAATATGAAACACAATTACAATTACACTGAAATACATACAAGTATTACATAAATAAATTGACTTACTTTACTAATTACTAATATACTCACCGTAAGATGCAAAGCCAAGGAGCTAGGCTGATAATGATGAGTAGGGAGTCTGAACGAAGGAGACACAAACAAACGAGTGATGCTGTAATACCATCCCATGTAGTCTCCTGAAACAGATGGGACAAATGTCGATGTCCCAGCCACAACTAGCTCAGCTCGCCTTTCCCACATAGTGACGTATCGGACATGTCTGAGTGCCCAATCCTCTGTATGCTTCCCACGCCTATCCAGCCTATGCAGCTCAACATAAGTGTCGATAGGCCGTGGAATGACCTGCTCAAACCCAAACTGTCGCAAGACTCTATCAGGCAAATGAAGTTCAACAATGTCAAAACATATCAACGGCACACGTGCTCGCCATATGTGACTATGCTCTCGTCCATCTAGGGGCAACTCTGCAAACATTTCAGGTGTATACGGCATCCATGTAATCTGTTTCATACAGATACAAAATTAGTATTTATTCTATACATATTATAGTTAATGTTATATTATCCACACCATACCTGATCCTCAGACATCCGATCAAATGCATCCCTGTACACACCGAGCCCAGTAGCGGATGACATGCGAGATAGGCCAGCATATAGCCATCTAACCATTCATGTAACAATATCATTAATATGGATATTATTAATGTATTTACATTAAACATACAATCACATAAATACCAACGATTAAAAACATACCGACGGCCTAGAGGGTCCTCGCCCCGTACATGATGTGGTCCTAGAACACCTGCAGGCTCATCAGGCAGTGGATGTCCATCAATGCCATGACATGTGACTACAATGGGACGCCCAATGTGGATATACTCCCATGACCAAATATGGAGGAGTAGCAAAAATCCCCCAAGCTCTGTGCTCCCTCTCTGGCAGCCGCGACACAGCTGTCTGTACAGATAAGCGAGTGTAGCACTACCCCAGCTGAACTGTGCTGCTACATCAAACCTCTCTAGCATAGGCAAGTGCAACACCTGAATCTCATTTCCGCTCTTGTCAGCGAAAATGGAAGCTCCCATCAGCATCAAGATATATGCCCGGGCATGCTGCTGGATCATCACTGACCGGAGGAAGCACCTGGAAGTGCTCCCTCAACCATGGCATCCTCAGAGATGACCCCTGAAGGTCAGTCCTAAGAACGAGGTGGATACCTAACAACCGCTCACACCCATCTACCCACTGTCGACAAGTTGTGTCTGTAACAGCTCTCCCATCAACCTCTAACCCGGTAAGTACAACAACATCTCCCAAGTGTTCTGTCTTTCTTTGCCCCGACCCCGTTTTTACTTAAAGAGTAAGTCGCCCAACCGTTGGGCGACTTACCCCGACTATGGTTAACCCAGCAGTATTTTGGTAAATACTTTTAATCCAATCCTATTTTCGTAATTAATTAATTAATTAACATTAATACGGAAAAAATCTCCATAATTGGACGTAGAAAAAACATGTGACTGCATTTAGTAAAATGAGGGCTGTGAATAGAATTTGCCAAATCTTGCTTTCAAGTCCGTACTGCAGCGGAATTGGGCCTTTGATCGTTCTAAAGCCCAATTTGAAATAAACCCCTCCCAAACCCCTGCCCAAACTGAGGTCAATCTGTCATTTCCCCGCCTCCATCACCTCTTGCTCTGAAATCTGCTCCGATGAAACCTCAGTGTTGAGCTCTCCATTTCCCGTCGAACTCTACACCAGAAGAAAATGGCTTCTCTGTCATACCGTTTGAATCCAAAGCTGATCGATGTTTCAACGCCCCTTTACCTGAGGTCCACTTCCTTCTTCTGCTCATCGCCATCCGTGGATTCCGAGATCCCCATCTCTTCCGCCGCTGGAGCTCAGGATGCTGGCATATTACCAATATCGGGCAGGCCGCTAAGAGGTAAGCCCAAACCCCCTGATAAACCTGAGGATATCATCTGTAGAATGATGGCAAATCGGGCCTGGACGACCCGTTTGCAGAACTCGATCCGGAACCTCGTTCCAGTGTTCGATCACGACCTCGTCTATAATGTCCTGCATGCTGCTAAGAACTCGGAGCACGCTCTCCAGTTCTTCAGGTGGGTGCACAGGGCTGGGCTTTTCCGCCACAATAGAGAAACTCATTTTAAGATCATTCAAATTCTCGGCAGAGCTTCTAAGCTTAACCATGCTAGATGTATACTTCTCGACATGCCCAAGAATGGGGTAGATTGGGATGAAGATTTGTGGGTGGTGATGATTGAGAGCTATGGGCAGGCTGGGATTGTACAGGAGAGTGTTAAACTGTTTCAGAGAATGGAGGAGCTCGGGGTTGAGAGAACTCTGAAATCTTACAATGCATTGTTCAAGGTGATAACACGTAGAGGGAGGTATATGATGGCTAAGAGGTATTTCAACAAGATGCTGAAAGAAGGAATTGAGCCAACAACCCACACATACAACCTTCTGATTTGGGGCTTCTTCCTTGCTTCAAAGGTTGAGACTGCAAATAGATTCTTTGAGGAAATGAAGAGAAGGGAAATTAATCCTGATTTAGTAACTTATAATACGATGATTAATGGATACATTCGTGGGAAGAAAATGGAGGAGGCAGAAAAGTACTTCACGGAGATGAAGGCAAGGAATTTTGAGCCATCTGTGATTACATACACCACCTTAATAAAAGGGTATAACTCCGTTGGAAGAGTTGACGAGGCATTGAAATTGTTCCAAGAGATGAAAAGTTTTGGTATTAAGCCGAATGAAGCTACATACTCAACCTTGTTGCCTGGGCTATGTGAAGCAGATAAGATGTCTGAAGCCAAGACTATCTTGAAGGAGATGGAAGGGAAGTATATCGCACCCAGAGACAATGCCATCTTTGTAAGATTATTATCCGGACAGTGCAAAGTTGGTGATTTGGATGCTGCAATGGATGTACTCAACGCTATGATCCGTTTGAGCATTCCAACCGAGTCTGGGCATTATGGGGTATTGATTGAAAACTTTTGTAAAGTAGGAAATTACGAACGAGCTATTAAATTATTGGATAAGCTCGTTGAGAAGAACATTGTTTTGAGACCAGAGAACACTTTCCATATGGACCCAAGTGCGTATAACCTGATTATTGACCATCTCTGTAACAATGGCCAGACTTCAAAAGCTGAAGTCTTTATGAGACAGTTGATGAAAATTGGTGTTCAAGATCCGGTTGCTTTGAACAATTTGATCCGTGGGCATGCAAGAGAAGGAGATCTTGAATCAGCATCTGAACTTTTGAAGATCATGGTTAGGAGGAAAGTTCTTACAGAAGAGAGTGCTTTTAATTCACTTGTGTATTCTTATTTAAAGAAAGGAGATCCTTCCGAGGCCAAAATAGTTTTAGATAGTATGATTGAAAATGGACATTTCCCAGAGTCATCACTGTACAAGTCTGTTATGGAGAGTCTGTATGAAGATGGAAGAGTTCAAACTGCAAGCCGTGTGATGAAGACTATGCTGGATAAGGGAGTGAAGGAACATGCGGATTTGATGGGGAAAATATTGGAATCTCTTTTGATGAGGGGTCACGTTGAGGAAACTCTTGGCAGAATTGAACTGATGATGCAAAACGGTTTATCGCCTGATTTTGATGCTCTTTTAACTGTTCTGTGTGAGAAAGAAAAGACGATTGCTGCTTTAAAGCTCTTGGATTATTGTTTGGAAAGAGACTTCAACATTGAGTTTTCAAGCTATGATAAGGTGTTGGATGCTCTTCTAGCAGCCGGAAAGACCTTGAATGCATATTCAATCATGTGTAAGATAACAGAGAAAGGTGGTGGTGGAGTTAAAGGCCACAAAAGCATTGAAGGATTGATAAAGAGCCTCAATAAGGAGGGGAACACCAAACAGGCAGATATTCTTTCAAGAATGGTTACAGGAAAGGATAAAGACAGCAAGAAAGGAAAGAAGAGTGTGCTCAATGCGGCGTGATTTTTTCCCAACACTAAATGCTACATAACCTTCCATCTGCGTGCTGTTGTATCTCATTTTCAAGAAACCAGTTTTTGCTTGTATTCCTAGAACATTTACTCATGCAAAATCCAAATTTAAATGCCGTAATTCAGTGATCTACTTATTGGTATGGGATTGGGTGTCCAAATATAGTCCCCAAGACAGTGAAGAAACCTCCCCCATCCCCCTACTTGATGGACTTGATGAGAATGATGACTTAATCATTCAGCCATTAAATCATATTTACTTATGTCTTATGTGAATGCATGACTTAATCATTCAGTAAAAAAAGTGACTTATCATTAAGCTAGAAAATAATAGTCATTCCCATTAAGACGTCTATTAACGATTAAGATGTCTTTTTTGTCATTTTTTAAAATTGATTATGGAATAAATTTATGTTAATAAATGAAGTTTCTCATTAACATTATAATATACTTCCTACTACGTATAAGAATACTACTAAATTGATATTTTACTCAATTCTAATACTCAATATTAATTGTTAATTCAACACACAAAATGAATATGCTCATATACAAATATTATTTAATTCAGACAATCTTCTTATTCAGACAGATGTGAAAGGATTTAATAGTAAAAAAGTAAACAACTTTGAAAGTGTGGTTGTATGTCATCAGAATGTAAAATTCGTTTCTTTAAACAAAACAAGTGAATAAATCGGCATGATAAAACCGAACCATATTATTATAAATGATGGATGGGTTCATCCGTTCATGTAGATCATTTAAACTCCCCAATCTCTAAGGATTAGTTCTTGGAAAATTGCCTAAAAACCCTCTAAAGATAATGTGGTTTCCCATTGTATTTTGCTTACTAGGAATAAAGTAATTCACCTAAATACGAGCAAAACATATGGAGTAACACTTTTTCCTACCACTAATCTTACTCACAAATAATTCACTTTTTTTTTAAAACAGATAACTTATTTATTAATAAAACTGAGAACCAAATACAAATTCGCCATAACAAAGGCTACAATGGGGTGAGACTCAGAGCTGGATTCGCGCTTACAAGCGGACCATCTCGCTAACCCCGCAATGTGGTAGGCTCCATACACAACAATGCTATACCTGGTACTAGAATGGGGATGAAAAAACAAAGCAAAGTTCGGAATAATAGAAGAAATAGGAAAAAAACATAATCCAGTTTGACCATCCACTGGCAAGGGAGTAGCAGTTTGACCAACCTCTGCTTAAGGAACAATCTTCAAAACCTCGCCATCTTCCGCTACTGGCGGTGTTGTCCATGCAGCACCGCCACTTCCAAGTTTTTGAAGACGCATCATCAACATCCATGATGTGGATCGTTGCGCTTACCGCTACACTAAAAGCAATCGCTGATAGTGTAGCACGCCCTTCCCCTTTTTATAGAACAGACAAAGCGCCACGCGATTCGATTGCACCGGCAGGCTGGCAGATTGCTGACCGCAGACCCGCGGCAGGCCCAACAATCTCCCCCCAGCACCTGCCAGCCTACAACTGAGCAGCATGCTGTTGCCGGGGGTCGAACCCGTGACCTTTGGCTCTGATACCAATTTTGGATCGTTGCGCTTACCGCTACACTAAAAGCAATCGCTGATAGTGTAGCACGCCCTTCCCCTTTTTATAGAACAGACAAAGCGCCACGCGGTTCGATTGCACCGGCAGGCTGGCAGATTGCTGACCGCAGACCCGCGGCAGGCCCAACACATGCTTGCCTCTGTCCCCACCTCACTCTCCTTCTCTGTGACCCTACGCTTTCTGGACCCATCACCGGTAGCAATCTCCTTACCCTTGGACAAGAGACCCTCCACCAAATAACTGTCCTGTTCCTTTGTGTCATTATCAGATTCCACTAATTTTCCTTACCTATCGCCCGGATTCCTATTACTAGGTATAGAGCCGTCAAAATGGGCCGAAACCCACGGGCTGACCCGTTTAAACCCATTTATTGGTGGGTTAGGGTTGAGAATTCCTGACCCATTTAGTTCGCGGGTTTCACGGGTCAACCCATGCGGGTTGCGGGTTTAAGTGGGTTAGCCCACCGGGTTACGGGTTGGACCGCAGGCCAAAATAAAAAAATGTAGTTTTGAATTTTATTATTTAAAATAGTGTTCTTTTACTACCAATATTATTATAATTACAATTAAAAAAGTATTATTCTTTTATTTCTATAATAAATATTCAAATAAAATGTTGAAACATATATTTTTTGTGAAGTTCGATACAATATTTAACAATTAGTAGTCATTATTTGCAAATAATTAATCAAAAGTTTTATGTAAATCTTTATTTTTATACAATGATTATTTTTGTCACATAGCCTCTTATAGTTTTCAAATTCTCGTATAACTAGTATTTAATATTTTTTAATTAATTTTAACAAGTATTGAATTTTTAGTATTTTGAATTCTTATATTTCCTTTGTTACTACTTGCTAATATAAATATATACTTCCGGGTAATTATTATTTTTAAAAAAATCGTTTTATATTTTTTTTACATTGGCCCGCGGGCCAACCCGTTTAACCCACGGGTTAGGTGGGTTGGGTTAGGGTTGTAGAATTTCTGACCCGTCATTAAATGGGTTGGCCCGACCCAACCCACATAAAGCATAACCCGTTACAGGTCGGGTCGGGTTGGGTCGGGTTGGCCCGTTTGACAGCTCTAACTAGGTATAAGCCATCTGTTTCCCGGGTGCAATCCTCCCCGCCTCATATCTGCCCGAAGCCATGGCCCATATGGTTTCTCCCCAATTCCCATCCCGCTATCGGGGTTAGAGGGACAAAAACGATCAGCAAGGCCAAGAATCCCACATAGAAAGCAGAAGTTCGGGAGTCTCTCATATTTAAAATTTGCCCAAATCCAGCCATCCCCCTCCTGTCTAACTTGTAGTCGTCGGGTTAACGCCATGGTAACGTTCAAAGTGACTCGTATGCGCATGGCCAACCTTTTCTTTCCGCCAGGAGAACTCTCATCTAGTCACACAAAGGAGCCGATACTATTGGCTATACCACGTGCCGCCTTTGCCGTCATATAACTTAGCGGCAGATCATGTACCTGAACCCAAAAATCCGCATGGTCCAGAGCAACCTCCAGAGGTTTATCGGTACGTTTTAACCGTTTAATAACCACAAGGTTCTGCTCAAAGGACCAAGGCCCCTCATCGACAACCCTGTTCAAGTCTCCCTCATGGTAAAATTGTAGCAAGAATTTTGAATCCTCAATTCCATCAATCGAGACTCCTTTTACTGGTCGCCAGACCATAGCCATTGTTTGGAAGAAAGAGATAGCACGAACAGGTTTATTCGACACCGCCGCAAGATTGAAACCGTCCGTATTCCCTCCCCCATTTTCAATCGGGTCAGCCGCAATCACTAGCCCCCTGTTTTCTTCCTCGGCAATTGATAACATATTGACCCTTGTCGAAATCATGTCCAATTCAGCACAAATCAAAGAATACCAAAACACTAAAAAAGAAACAAAAACGAAATAGAACCAAGTGCAAAACCAGAAGCCCTGCAATCGCAGCTACCGGAATTTCACAGACCAAACAATCAGAACAAACACAACCAGCTTAGTCGGCCAAATTGAGCCGGACGAAATCACGGAACAAATGCCCGGAGAAGAAAACAATCGATCAACGACGGAAAACGAAATCACAAAAACCTGGCCGCGGAAGAGCCTGACCGCTAAAACTCCCTGATGTCGGTGACTCCATCATCGGTCAGAGACTGCCGGTGACTCCTTCCTCGATCCAGAGCATCGCGTCGATCTATAGCATCGCGGCTAGGATTTTTCCATAATTTAAGAGCCTTAATATGTCCTTTTTCAACGCAATGGAAGTGGTACTTTAAAGAACTAAGCAAGGGTTTGGCATATAATTGGCTTAAATAGGAGTAAACAGTAATTTCCTACCCCTAATACCCCTATTATAATTCATTAATTGAACTCTAGTTCGCTTGAGCAAACGGGTCAGTCCATTGGTAGTGGGACAGTCCGGCGACAACAATCGGTGGCAGTGGCAGAAAGACCAAAGAAAAATTCTGATTTTTTTGCACAATGGGGGATCTCCAGTGACCGGCGATGAGATTCTGCATGTTGGTGGCCACAATAGTCGGAGCTCTGACGGCCGGGGATGGCGGAGATGGCTTGCAACAGTTGCTGCATGGTGGTGAGTTGTGAGCTTCATACGCGGAGGATATGGCCTACAACAGTTTAAGGGCAAATTGGTCAATTCAGTCGTTTTCACTCCTATTAAAAAGTAGACTCCTAATTGTCCATTTCATGGTTTGACTTTGTTTTAATAACATATTAAGATTTTATTGATTGTTTTAGTTTGGTTTGGTTTTACTCATTTTTTTCTATTTTGGTTCGGTTTGATTGACTACGATATGTGAAAAGCATTACCAAACTCAAACTGCGTATATGATTTAGTTTCAGTTCGATTTTGTTCGATTTTCTACTGTTTGGTTAATTAGGCTTTAATTTGCTAGTTTCAATTTCATAATTGATACGACGTAATATTATTCAAACATGAGAGTAATTATCCATATTTAATTAAAAAACATAATCCGTAATATTCATATTTGGGAAATCTACATTATCTGTACTCTTATTTAGGGAAGATTCTTTTTGTTCTTTGAGAAAGTGGTTGAAAAATTATTACAAAAAATTACTAATATGGTTCCTCTCCCTCACTTGGTTTAAAATTAATAAAATGCTCATTTTAAAGGCATACTAAATTGTTAAGAGAGTTGGTCTTGTAATTTTTAAGGCTTAGGAGCAAGGCACTTCAGATTAGCTGCAGAGGCACTTGCTGCCGCCGCGCCATCAGAAGCTTATGCTCGGTTATGCCATTCATTATTCCAACAATTCTGTGCTAACGCTTAGAGCAACGCAAATCTTTTCCTTAGCTTTCATCTAGGGTTTGTTTTAGAGCAAGGCGCTTCAGATTAGACGTAGAGGCACTTGTTGCCGCCGCGCCATTGGAAAGCTTTTCTTGGCTATGCCATTCATTATTCCAGCAATTCTGTGCTAACGCTTAGAGCAGCGTAGGAGTGGTCTTTTCCTTAGCTTTCATCTAGGGTTTTTCCGGCATGCAGTTTGCGCCGTTTGTTATCCGGCGAATGATTTGGAGCGACAGTGGGAGGGTAGTTATTACCACGCTCTGCCTCTCCATGGTCTGCTTCTTTATGGTTGATGCTTCTAGATGTGCTGCTATGGATCAAATTTGGAGGTCTGTGATTGATACTTTCGTTTGGAAAATCGCCTGGCAATTTCTGAATCGAGTTATGAGCAAGAGAGAAGACAGATCGGTGCTCCCCCCTCTCCTGAACCACCGCCTTGAAGCGTTCGTGGTGCTAGGGTTTGTAAGATAATACTTCAAGAATACTGGAAGGAAGGAGCTTGGAGTAATTGTCAATTATTTTATTTTTATGGTC